ACTTACACATAATTTTAACTATTTTATAAAATTAGTTTATGAGCTATTTTAATTTAGTTTACTATTAGCGGATCTGATTCGAATCCAAATAATCTTTGTTTCTTAGAGATCTAGATAATATTTTTCTGAATCCGGATACGGATATAAGTACCTTGAAATTCCAAAATATTTGATCCGTATCCATCTTTAATTTTTTTTTTCAAGTTACTCGTTTTTATATTTCAAAGATCTTCGTATAAAAAAGACACAAATGATCGTTGTGCTCTTATATTGACTTTTAAAAAAAGAATTGATAGAAACATCTACAAATAATAAAAGAATAAACTCAATAAATTATATGAAAAAATTATTACTGCAATGATTGAGATGAAAACCTAGATTGTATATGGCATTCACGTTTACATCGCTTTAGACAGTCATGTTCAGGTAATAGAATGAGTCCGCATTTGAACATGCATATATCCATGCATGAAAGTCCTTCTACTTTGTCTTCCATGGCCGTCATTACTATCGCCACCATCATCATCAATACGATGCACTTCTTCATACCCATCTTTTAAAGTTTTTTTTTTAATTGTGTATAAGAAAATTGTATGTATATATTTTAGCAAGAAAAAAAGTTTCGTATGTATATATATACACAAATGAAATTAATGACCAAATCTTGATTTTGTGTATGCTTAATTATGAAACACTATTTTTAAATTAAGTTAAAGGTAGATTAAGTGGAAGTTTTGCTTTAAAAGTTGAGACATTAATTAAATCTTGATATAGTTGGCTAAATTTAAAGATGAGAGATTTATTAAGTTTGTCAAGATTGTCCACGCATTAGGTGGATTTAAAAACTAAACGTTATTCACAATTTTTTGTGGGTATTCTTTCGAGGGTCTTAGTTAGGAGATGATTGACAACTTTAGCATTCTAACAATATTAAAATTCCTAAAATCACTAACTAATTTTTACACACCATTTTTTGTTAATGTAACGATTCTTTTTGTTAAAACCTTTTGTGATTTTATTATTGTGACTTTTTGTTTTAAAATAGTAGTTACCTATCTAAATTTTTAAATGTTTTTGTATAGTATATTGTTGGGTTTAATAAATAAATATATATTTTCTAAACCGTTAAAAGTTCACAATAACACATTTAATTTATAATTATAATTTTTGGTGGTTATCAAAAAAAGAAAAAAGATAATGGTTAACATATGATTGACTTATTATACTGAAACTGATCATCTTTATGTTACACTTTAATATTTGGAATTAAATTACATTAGACTTACCTATTAAATTATAAGAATTAATTTTTAAAGTTATGAAAAACACTTGATTTTTCTCAAAATGTCAAAAGAGTAGAGGATTAGGAGATGATTGACAACTTTAGCATTCTAACAACCTTAAAATCCCTAAATTCATTAATTAATTTTCTCACACCATTTTTTGTGGTTAATGTTACAATTTTTTTATTAAAACTTTTTGTGACTTTACTTTGTGATTTTTTGTTTTAAAATAATAGTTATCTATCTAGAGTTTTAAATGTTTTTGTATAGTATATTGCTGGGTTTAAAAAAATATATATAAAAGTTTACAATAACACATTTAATTTAAAATTATAATTTTTTTGTTGATATCAGGAAAGAAAAAAACTGAAATTGGCCATCCTTATATTACATTTTTTTTAATTAACTGACATTAAAGTTAGCTACTAAATTGTAGAAATTAATTGTTAAAGTTATTAAAAACATTTTTTAATAAAAAAAATAAAAAAGACAAATGTTAAAAGATTATGTGACACATGGTATCCTCTCATAGCTTAGGTTTATAAAAACCTTAAAATATTATATAAGATATAAAAATCTAGTGCAAATCCATGTTATTATGGAAATTGTTTTTATCTTATGAATAAATGTATAAAAAATATATTTTATAACACTAGTTCTAATAGAGTAATTGAATCACTAATTTAGGTAATAAAAAATAATAATACATAAGCCCATAAAAAGAAAAATACTAAGCCATTTGTGAGTTGTAGATACTTTTGTTTTTATTAACTAAAATATGAAAATCAAAGAAAAAAGGACAATTACAAAAATGCCACTTTTCAAAAATGCCACAATGGATTGTATATTTATAAAAATGTCACAAAAATGTCACAAACTATGGATTTT